TGTTTGAAAATCTATTGAGCTATGTCGTAAATATTTTATCTTTAATTGTTTGTTTTAAACTAAGAATACAATTAAGTAACACCTCGGATTATTTACTTACATAAATATTTACTTAGATCGTAAGTATAGTGAACCGAAACAATACAGTATTTTACTCGAGAAAGCGAAAGTAGCTATCATCGTCATCATCAGACCGTTTCCGTTTTCAAACTAGATATAATAACATAGTACTATATACAATATACATTATGTACATTACAGGATGAACAGTTTTATATCACAGATTTATCGTTTCTACCAGATAAATACATACTGACTCAAAATGTAAGTAAGACATATATTTTGTGTGTGTATTCTCATGCATATATCCAAATACGATATTTAAAGACAATTCAGTCACGGTTTCATTGTACACGAGACTAAATACATCACGGACGGTTGTATTGTAATAAAACCGATGTTTAAACAAAACCGCAGTGCATTATGTATACATTTCTTTCTTCTTAAAATAGGTAGCAGTTAGGTATATGGCAAAAAACTAGATACTGGTCAAATATACAATATACAAATTATAACACCAATATATAAAATATATAAAAAAAACTACTTTTTCCTCAAAAAGTTTTAAGTTTAGTTGCAGTTGTGCTGATATCCTCTGAAATAACAAAGTAGTCAACTTAAAAATTATGGACTTAAAATTTAAAGTAAAGACACCTAATTTATTTTTATCCAATTAGTACAATTTGTAATTGCCTCGTTTATGCAATTTCAAGTAATAAATATTAATGTTTATATGCATACTCTAACTAACCCACTTATGTCTGACAGCTGAGACTAACTAGAATATTTGCCTCGAATAAACGCTAACATTACTTAAAATAGAGACCTTATTTTATGTCTAGGTATTTTATGTTGGATACTTTAACATCAGAATAAAAACAATATGTTAGATAGGTTGTAGTAAAACCAATTAAATCTAAACTTTTTACTAACTGATAAAACCACCACGAGTTAAATTAACATCAAGTCACTATAGATAGAATAACAACATTTACCAGAAACTGTAAGCACGTTTGACAAAACGATACCAATTCCAAAAACTTAAAGGCTTTAATATAAAGAAATATAAGGCCCGAAGAAAAAGAAAATGTTGCATAACACGAACCATTCATAAAACTAGAACAATCTAAATCCGTCAACAGACAATCAATCACTTCAAAAAATTCAAACCGCGATAAAATCAATTTTGTTTGACGATGCCAATAAAGGTAATACCGTCACTCGATATTTGATCTGATCAATGGTACACACGGCCACATATCAAGCCAAACAAACCAGTATAAACTGACGGTGAAATGTGCGAAAAGATCCATACAAAGTGAGACCAAGATAGATTGGTAAGTTACAAAGCCGTGTGTACATAACCGGTTTAAAACAAACTACATACCAGCCCCTGTCCGCACTTGTACTCTCTCCCAATCTTTCAACATGACATTGACGACATGTTGTATGTGATTGTGACGCCGCATTCCCGATACTTATTACGAAACTAGAACAACTGCGAGTACAAATAGAGATCTCTCTCGTGTCACGCCCACAGCCTATCTAATTATTGTGCTGACAAACTTGCGTACATGCGAGTCGATATATAATGTTCATTTTATGTTAGAACAAAATAAGTGCATAGGGTGAAGTCAGTGTAGCAAATCTGATATTGAACAAGTCTGTCGTAATTATTATTAACATAGTTTTTAAATCTTTTGTTTTCAAAACACCTTTGGAAAATAAATAGAAAATATGAACCCATATTTTATAGTGTCAAGTGACACACCTGTATTAAAGTTGTTTATTAACTGTTTATTGAGACTTGATACACTTCATTAATTATTTATGCGTGCATTAACTAAGCCGGCTTTAAACCACAAAGTATACGGCCTCATTGGTCTAGTGACTTTAACCGCAACCACAATTATTGGGCAAGAATTCCGAATTCAGACGATTTCCGGATGAGAAGAAAACTTAGTACCTACTATGAAGATTTGAATGAAAAATATTCCAACTTAATACACAGTCTCGGTACAATACAATTTTACACTTTCCTTTTTAAGCGGAGCCCAATTGTATATTCTTTTTTCAATATTTAGAAATCGATAAACCACGCTATGCCCAACCCAGGAAATTTAAAACCTCATGTTTTTCATTCATACATAGCTACTTGACACTCTGCTTGGTTCCAAGTTTGCCATTATTGAGTGAATCAAGCAAATCAAGTATGTCTACTGCTGTGTTCAAATATTGATGTTTCTTTGTAATAGATCGTCAGTTTCGTCAGCGTCCATTTATTTATTTACATTACACCCACAAGGCAAGACTTTAAAGTTACTTGACAAACCCAATTTGAACCGACTTGGTTCTTTTATTACGACATATAGTGAGTAACGTATAATCTAACAACTGACTCAAAATGTACTCGACTCATTAATACAAATGTCAGCGCCAAAGATTTCCAATTTGTGTTAATACCAGTACAAATTATGATAATGAGAGGCCTAATATATCAGGCTAAGTCTAATATATAGCTTGCAACATTCAAACATACACCGCAGGTGGCATACTGATAGAGGCAGATATATTATTATTTTTTCTAATGTGGACCCAACTCTATAATCACTATATCATATAATACAAACTAAGATGAATTATTAGCACATAGTAAACTATGTCATGTCGTAATTCTAATGTAATATCATAGTTATTCACTTGACATTTTATAACAATTTTTCAATCGATTATTGCGACCATAATTACTCATGAAACATGCATGTAGTAAAAAATGCGTACGCACAGGTGTCCCAGCAACAAGCGTTATGTACCTATATCCGTTTCTAAATGCAATTATTAAATACATACACTGTTATATCATTAATATTTTATGTTAAGGTAACTATTGTTAAAAGCCTTGATTTACTTCAGACTTGTATCGTAAACAATCTCGATCGTTTCATTGACAACTTTATCAGTTTAATTTAACTTTTAGTTAGATTTATCATACGGATAAATGGAAAATAAATTGTAATCTGTAATAGTGTTTAAACCGATAAACGCTTTAAGTGCTAATTAGTTAGGTTAATCCTTATAAAATTTGTGGTGTAAAACGAATGTTGCATTGTTATCCTATTTGCACCTCTGTATACAACTTTGAGTATTAAAAGGTAATTGAGTATTAAGAGGTATTAAAAGGTCATCATATATAAATATTAAATATATACTCATTCCTGATTTAAATATTGATTAGCCACAAAATACTTAAATTGTTTCTGCAAAACTAAGAAACGGTTGTCTCTTAAATCAAATTTTCCTTCCTCATTTGACAAAACGGATCTTGTAAGAAATAAATACTTTGTCCTGTTCAATAGCCGGTTGCGTCATGTGAGCGGATTACCCATAAATTTTCCAAATGTCTTGTAGGTGTGATGTCGGCATGTCCTCGCGGCCAAGCTCTAGATTTAATGCGATAATGTGTCCCCATGTGACAACTTGCAGTAATTTATTGTTTCTACTTGCAATCATTTATAACAGCCTTACAATATTATTGAGCGCATTAGAATTATGTACCACTGACTTTTGAATTTAATTAAATTTTAGGCAGATTTAATTCAGAGTCTTAAACCTTTGAAGTATTTTTATTGCTTATTTTCTATTGCTCACTAAACATAAATAAATATTAACAATCTACATTTTAATTTTAAGTTACATTAAATTTTAACATGTAATCTTAAACTAAAAGATAATAAATGTATAAATCTTTGTCACCCTAACACAAAAATACTACAGAATACACTGAAATTATATTTATTATCATTTTATAACTTTTGAAGTTAAAATAGATAGACGATTTTAGAAGCAGCCTACTGAGTTGTTGTAGTGCAAACCAAATGATATCGAATCTTTAGCAATCCACAGTTTCAAACAGGTAATTTATAAGCTAGCTGTTAATGGAAGGTACATCGAAACATCAAAGAGTTATTAGCACGATTTATATATAACTTCGAGGGCCACATCTCTTAAATAGTGATATATTGATCGTAAATAAGGGCAATTACATTGTTAATTACTAAATTGCCAGCAATCAAGTCTATTAGCTAATTTATTAGCTGATTCTATCATTCTTGTATTTATAAAAAAAATTCTAAGCACCTATGACACCAAAGATAACAAAAGCCCTAAAAATAACTTATTTATGAAGTAGATGATAAAAAATAAGTACACTAATTTATTTTCAATAACTCAGCAAAAAGACATCTCCTGCTTAGTATAGGCTTGTAGCATAAACAAAATTTTCACAAAAAGAAAAATAGGTACCAGTGCATAAATTGATGTGTTTTAAAACAAACAAACTTTGAACTTAATAAATGCGTAACGAGGAGCTCATTGCGATGCATCTCGGTTACAGCGGACAGAGCAAGGCCTCGATAGGAACGCTCGAGCACGCAACTAGCACGCTCATACAAATCTGCAAAAACTCTATACCTACACACAACCGCAAAACAGCACATAATTTCCCAGCACACGTTAACCTTGCATTATATAAACCTTTCGTACAATGAGAGGTCAATTTATAATGGAAATGTAGCATATTTTGCCGTCACCTGCACTAGAACCTGCCTCAACGCGTTAATTAACTATGCCCACTAATAAAAATTCTTCGCTATTCATTGCACGAGTTTGGTGAACACCTACATCGATGTTTGAAAGATAATTAATTAAGAAATTACTCGAGCGACTGTTTCATACAGACGGCCTTTATATAGCTACGATATGTATATCAAGTTTTATTTTCATTGATTTGAAACATATTATGCGTACTTAAGTTGTATGTATAGAAATCTGAAAGCACTTTTAATAAATAGGCATTTTTTTAATACCACTTTCATCTTAGACATAACGTTTTCAAAATGTGACTTACAACTTTGTAAATTATTTCTCTGTTTAATTTCCAGAAGTGTACTACGAGAAGCAGCGGTATGATGGTTGGTTCAACAACAGAGCTTACCCAGACTGGGGATCCGTTGGTGAGTTTAATCTGACATTATTTGATTACGAGCTTAATTATCTTAGTACTAAAAACGAGTTATTTCGAATTAGACGCCAATAAGAGCTGTCATAAAAGTAATAAAGTAAGTTACGAATTTCTCCTTTAAAACTCAGAATTAAGAACAAAAGTTCCAAATCTTTTTACCTGGGAATTAATTGTAGAAAGAACTAAGTTAGGCAACATTAATTCAACTGAATTTTAATTCTAAGAACTTCCAAAGTCGTATATCCCTTAGCATCAAATTATCAGACCATGACTAATAATATACAACATCCGTTTTAAGTGTTGAGTGTAGACTGTTCAGTTTTTGTTGCTTTTTCTTGCAATTTGTTTATGGTAGTTTAAGAGTTTTGCGAATCTAAACGTTTTTATCGATAAGTATTAGCCACTAATTCACCAACCTCTAGCAGCTGTACTATACATTATTATTTTATGTTTTATAAAATTTACTATTTTAAAGTTCTATGTTATAGCAAAGAGTTTTGACCTCTGGTCTAGAACAGAGTCCAAAGGATGACACTATTTATAAACCTCATCACTACATAGTATAGAACAAAGTCGCTGTCCGCCCTATGTATGCTTAGATCTTTAAAACTACGCAACGGATTTTAATGCGGTTGTTTTTAATAGATAAAGTGATACTTAATGAAGGTTTATAAGTATAATAATATATGCATACTGCACCCGTGCGAAGCCGGGGCGGGCCGCTAATAATATTATAATAGATGCATATATCTCATACATGTTTGATTTTTGGCCTACCCTTTCGTTAAAAATGTATATGTTATGTACTATTACAACGACAATCTTTAACAACAGTTTAGGTAAAACGATCGAACTTTGATTACTCATTAGGAGTAACACAGAACCATTCTTTGTTAAAATATTTAAGAAACCCGAATGGTTTCATAACACGCTATCAAATAATCCACACGGTCATATTCAACCTCTTTGTCAGCTGTCATTGTTAGAACTGACGTTAATCAAGTTCGATTTGATAATTCAAATAGTTAGTTAATATTTGATTTATCGGATTAACCTTGCTCTAATCTCAATTCTCAGCCACATAGCTAATTTGCCGTCATAAGTAGGGCCAAGCATTAATTCCTTTTCGTGTTCAGAATTCTTATTTGAATTTGATTATTTGCATTAACATAAAGTTATGGACGTTTTAGTAAATGAGTCATATTTTTCAGATTCATTGTTTTGTAAGTCTTTTATGATTCAGTGTACAAAAATGAAAGAAATTGATAACTTGATTATTCACATAATTTTCTTTTTCTCGATCCAGTCTGTATTGTCACACCTGCATGCTTTATTGCATTATATTTGTTCTTAATTTGTAACAGCTAATGAACCAACACTTTTTTCTCGTGATATTTCATTAAATACATTTAAAAATTTAACATTTATTTAAGTAATATAATGTGTCTCAATTTAGATCCATAATACACATTAATATATATTAATATAGTTGTTATTGCATATTAAGCTGTCGTTGCACGTTTTTCTAGGTATTTACAAGTAAATAAGGCTTTTATCTTTAGCAAGTTCTGTTTAATCTTAAAATATACCCATTGAGTATCTTAAAAGCGCAATTTATATTTCAATACTCAATATCATTGATACAAATTCAATCAAACAATCGACAAACATTTTAAGTTTTAAATATATACCTACGTATATATGTCTAATTAGTTTGGCAGAACACATACATTAGATATGTATTCGGGTAGACTCGTTTGTGCATTGTAAGTAGTTTATAAATCGAGTTGTTAAACAAACGTCTGTGTTCGGTGTCAAACACACATGCAACGTTTATGAACAACATTGATAAGATTTGTCAATTATACGGACACTGAACATTAAAACAATAGTCTTAAATCCTACTTACCTAACAATGTACCCGAACCATACCTAACATAAACCTACTATCAATACTTTTTAACATTTTCTGTGAAGTCAGAAAATCATGCAGCATCCTTAAAATTCTTTTGAAGGTTTTTTTATAAAGCCAACGTGGATGTCTGTTGTGTTTATCAGATGACAGAAGCAGTTTCTTGGTCCCTGAACCACTTTCGATACGATCATATTTATAAAACAATTTAAGGAAACTTGACTTCAATGTGAGTGGGACTACTTTATATTTTTTGTGTGTCAATAATGGAGCAGAATTACGTAAATGGTGTGCGCCATTATTCTTGCGTATGACTTCAATATTTATCAACTGCCTTTTGAAACCAGCTGCATAAGGCACGAATTATATTTTGGCAAATGTATCCTATAACGGTATAATACATCCAATGCAATTTGAATTATTTATATCAAATACCTAACGGGTAGTCAATTAATCTGCAGCTATTAATTTCAGAACATATTATTCATGGCAAAACTATTTTCATATTTTTAAAGTAGTATCTAAATTCGGTCGATGATAAATTAGTTAACAGTCGCTCGCGTAAATAACATGAACTGCTGTCGATTAAGTTATGACAAGTCTTGGAAGCAAAAAATACCATTAAAAGGATGCTGGATGTTTATGCTAAAGATAATTCAAAATTTTAATATGTATTCGAATTTCTCGGTCCGATTCATTAAAGTTCCCATATAGAGGCAGATATGACTCCAAAGAAAACGCGCCACGAATACCATTTTAATTTAACACAAAAAGATTAAATTTATTACCGTAATTGTAAATGGAACGTTAAAACAGTATTTGTGTGGTTTTTAAATGTAAATAGATTTTATAATATATTGTAATGTAAGCATTAAATTGACTCGCAATTTGTGCCGTAATTAGCTCAGTAAAATGTGGTAATAACGATTTATAGGCATTATTCGTTCTTCTTTAGAAGTAACTCAGTGGACCACTGAATTTGATTATAGTCATCCATCAACTAGCCAGTCCAACGTATAATTATAATTACTAGCCACTGTTTCATGCTCATGCTCATACATAATCGATTCAACGTAAAGAATCAATACTGTTAGCTCAACGATTTTATCTTTTCAATTTACTTAGCATTGAATGGATATTTTGTAAGATTTATGATTGCTACGGATTTATTGATTATACGATTCGGAATTGTATTAATACATTACCAATATTCAATATAACAATTGCATCTAAATTCAATACAAATGATGAAAAGGATTGAATTACAAATTGTAATGTTTCTACAAAGAGCGTAGTATTGAAAGCTCGCTAACAAAAGATATCAACGCGCGGTGTGTTGTTATTTTCAATATACTGAATATTATTTTTTATATTAGTTTACAACTACCAACAATCTATTCATTTTATCTGCTTTTTAGGCTAGCGCTTTCTAGGTATGAAGCATGAAGTCTAGTAATGTAACGAAAAATGATACCTTTAACCCTGGCTTTTTCAAAATAGGTAATTTAAAAATATTAGTAAAAAGTAATAAATTCGTTAAACTAAATCAATTTAAGTCTGATTTACTCGTTATACACCTACATAAATATTTACTTATGTACCTTTGAAGGGAGACGTGAGATTACCTCATCAAGCTCGATATTTATTGATCTCTTTTATCGACTCATCTTAAAGTCGTGACTAGTGCCATGAGCGCTACTATTAGCGCTGCATTAATACCAAGCCGTCTAAAGATTTCAATTATTTCAATGATGATGAATTAATTAAATACGTCGTATCCAAAATAAATCCGTTTCCAGAATGAGAAGATACTTGTATGTATATTGCAATAATTAATAATTGCAATAATTACATAAGGATGTTTATGTTTTGTTTCTTGATACATAACAATTGTATTCATTATTCTGCGCGACGTAAAGATCAAACCCAACTAGTCCTGTAGACGAAACTAATAAACCCGAGCGATTACTTGACCATCGCCATAATGTGGTGTAAAAGAAAAATGAGTAACTTTCAAAAACATTTTGAGTTTGTGGTTGACCTACTGAAACTGTAAAAGAGGCCGCATAGTCACGATGCTCAGTAGCTATAGCTGTGACCTCTTGCGTAACGCGGTCAACTCGTGAATCTACTAACACACAGGCATCACGGCCCGGTAGAGGCCTTATATTATTAATTTGTCATCCAATGTTGCGAAACTAATGCATAACGACAGGACACAGTGCTGTATATATTTTAGGAAAATATATTATTATTTATTGAGACTGGTCGCTTGCATTCAACACGTAAATACATTTTAGTAATTTTTACAGTGATTTTTTTCCTACATGTACTAAAAGATACCAATTCAATTTAGTTTATGTAAAAGATATCCTGTATTATGCCGATTAGTAGGCCTGTTAAATCTTTTTTATTGTATTGACGATTAAATATGCTCTTGCATACTATGCTGTCCTTCCTATAACTTACATTTTAATGCAGAGCAAAGACCCGGTGTATATTGAATCCTATTTAATTTCTGATTTAAACCAATATCCGATTATGCAAATAATAGCATAAAATATTTAGGTAGATAAAAATTTTTTACTGATATGTCTTTGGTAGTTTCACAACTCCGATGTTTATCGACAGAACATACTGACATACACTCACAATCTACACCTTAGATCGATAGTCAGACATAGCCTTTCATTCTTAATCAAAATTAATTATCCATTGCAAGATAATACATTAAATTACATTCTTAATCTATCAATGTTTTATATATTACAAGCTAGACTTATTCAGTAAGTCTATTAATTTGTACGTAGTATATATCATTAATTTGAATATTACATTGTCTATAGGTATGTATATCTAGTGTATGAACACTTTCGCTCAATCGTCTTGTTATTACTTACTATCACAGCTGTATTAACTCTAAAGTTTTGTAAACGAAACTTCCTTTACCTACCTACCTAACTACTTTTATAATAATCGGATACTGAGAACTTACAAACTGCATTTTTAAAGGAAATTCTCACGCTTTCTTTTGTAATCACAACATATTGGTATGTAACTTATTACGTAAAATATATGAA